AAAACATTCCACACGCACGCACAACACACGCACAACACACACATATACGGACGCACAACACGTATATATGTATTTATGTATATTGGGGCACGCCAGCAACGGAGGCAGCATTTAGAGTCGGTTCCACTACTAGGTCCCAATGCTCCACTTCCTGTGCCGCCTGTCTCGCCGACGACGAAAAAGGGCGGAGTACGGTGTAAAATACAGGTAACTTAACGGTTCCAAGCCTGTTATTCGCAAGCCGATCGAACATACATACATACATATATGTATACATGTTTATTATGTTATTTTAACGTTTTTTTTTTGATAATATAAATTTCCCCGCCTCTGACCGACACCAGACCCTTACCTGGCGACCCCCCGATGTGGCACCAACGCAACGGCCAGCAAGTAAAACTCATGAAACCCCACACCGGCACCAACATTTCCTAAACAGGAACCTTTTTCAAGATCATAAAGGACGCGCTCACCACGGTAGGAGAGCCCTCTCCTCGGAGGGGGGTTTGGGGAAGGGGTCTCGACGGCCGCAGGGTATTTATCTATCTGCCGCTGGGGTGGGATGGGTATATGACGTGTCGACATACAGATATACGTCACCATATAGTCATGGGACGACGGAAACACCCACGGTCGTATGACCCACGGGTCGTTTGCATTTCCGGAAGCTGCACCAACACTGGGTACCTTATCCACTCCGTTTCCACACATTCCTCTCCGTTTTCCCTTTGGTGCTCCCATGTACACCCCACCCCACCCAACCCCACCCAACCCCACCCAACCCCACCCGACCCAAGTCCCACACCCGGGGGAGGGGTAAGGGCTGTGTGTGAGAGAATGTCAGCAAGGCAGTTGCTTCCCTTCCTGGCTTAACTTCTGCCTCCTTCACCCACCCTCTCCCGCCTTTTTTCCCGCCCCTTTTTTCCCGGCCCCTTTTTCCCGCTCCAGAACCGGTTCTTCAAGGGGCTCCAGGGGCGGATCCGGGCCAAGTCGGAGCGCCTGGCCGCCAAGACAGCCCAGCTGGGGAGGTCGGAGGTGGAGCGACGGCGGTTGGAGGAGTTGGTACGGCAGCAGCAGCAGGAGATGGAGCGCATGAAGGTGTGGGTCTCATCTGCTGCTGCTGCTGCTGCTGCTGGGGTCATGACGGTGGTGTAAAGGACCCGAACGGGGTGATAACAGTTAGGGGCGGCCCCGCTCCAGGGTTGGGGTGTCCGCGTGCCTCTCGCGTTGCGTCCCGATTAGGAGCGTTCGACCTGTCGAGTGTGCTCTTTTAATTTCGGTTTTTTCTGTATATAACTCCCTATATTTAAAAAAGAAAATCCTGCTTTTTGTTTTATTGTTGCCAGGGGATTGTTATGCCCGGGGGCGCCTCCCCCCCCCCAAAAAAAACCCTTCATGGTTTGGCGGATGCGGCGGCTTTTGTATCGGCCACCACCTTGACTGTGCTATCCCCGCGGCAGCTACCAACCTCGCGACCGTTACTGTTACGGTTGTGTTGTGGTTGTGGTGGTTACGGTCGTTGTTATGGCGGTTATTTGCATTGCAGTCGGAGTTGGCGGCAGTCAGGGTTGGTGCGCGCGCGAGGGGGGAGGAGGAGAAAGAGGCGGCGGCGGCGGCGAGAGGCGCAGCAGGAGGGAGTGCCGTACAGCACGCCATGACGACAGCAGCAACGGTGGCAGCGGCCGCGGCGGCCCTGCCGCCACCGCCTGAGCTGTCGTCACCGTACGAATTGTACGAGCTGCGTGTTGAGGTTGCGACGCTCCGCGCTGAGCGGGAGGTGGGTGGTGAGAGCTCGGGCAGAAGTGGGACGCCCCATGATGGCGCTTTGGTTGCTGGTTTCGCTGGTGATGGAATATGATGAGTGTCTTAGTCACTTTCCAACACGGGTGTCTAGCTGTGTATTGCCATCGCTTAAACTCTTCCCAGCTACGTCCTGCACGGCCCCACCCCATACCTCAGGCGTCGTTGTCCCTTGTGGAGGAAAAAAGTCGGGAGTGCGTACGGCTGGAGACCCAGCTGTACGAGGAGAAAGCGGCCCGGGAGGTGGGTTTCGGGGCGGATTGGGGCTGGAAGGAGGGAGGGGAAAATGTTTGGCATTATGTCACATTAAGACAGGGGGGTTTTGGGCACGCGTGGGTGAGCTATATCTTGGCGCCTACTTGAAAAAAACGTATTCAATGTACGACGTTCGTACGCCTTCAGGACGTCGAGCGGCAGCTGGTGGCATGTCGAGCAGCTGCCAACCTTCAGCTTGTGCAGCTTGACGGCTGCCGAAGGGAGCTGGATGACGCCAGGGAAAAGCTGGCGGCGGCGGCGGCAAGGACCAAAGCAGCAGCGGCGGCTGCTGGGCGGCGCGGCCGTACGATCGGCAGCGGCGACGCAGTCGGGACGGCCAGCGCCGGTGGCCCACTGGCACGCCCTCCGCCGCGGCGACGTGCTGCTGTGGCGGCCGAGACGGCGATAGCCGCGGCGGCGGCGGCAGAAGCGGTGGTGGCGGGCAGCGGGGGCGGCGGGGGCGGTGGCGGGGGCGGCGGAAATGGTGGTGACGGGGGCAAAGGCGGAGGCAGCAGAGGACCCGCCGCCGCTGGGGGGTCTGTGGAGCTCCCGTGGCATCAGGTTTCAGATTTGGCGGCGGTGGTGACGGCGACAGATGTCGTCGACCTGACCGGCGGCGATTAGGACGCTTACTGTCTGTCTATCTGTCTGTCTGTCTGATTGCCTGTCGGTCGGTCTGTCTGTCTGCCTCTGTTATTGAGAACGAGGGATCCAGGGGAAGAGGTGGAGAGGGGGAGGAAGGGAGAGGGGGAGAGAGTAAGGGGGAGTGAGAGAAGCACCGTCAGGACTTTACGTCATCATTGTGCGTAATGGTTGTTATGGGTATTGCGCATTATGGGCACGGTGTTGTTTGTATGTATGTATGTATGTATGAGTGGCTGTAAGAACTGGCTTATGTGTGGGTAAGCGCGCGAGCGTGTCTGTGTTTTTGTCTGTGTGTGTGTCTAGGAAAGCAGAGCCAGGTCGCTGGTTGAACTAGAATCGATCCCACCAGACCCAGTTGCTCTGCACTCAATCGAACCTAACTTTGCTCGACTTCGCTCGAACCGGAATACACATGACCCGGCGGATTCAGTCCCCCGCTCCTCCTCCTCGTCCTCCTCCGCGGCCATCCCGCGCAAGGGGCTTCCCGCGCCGCCTCATGTTGTTGAGTTTATTCCTGGTCTTGCCTTGCCTGGAGTTCCCTCCCTTCCATGTTTTGTTCATCGCAAGTTGTAGAATGGAAGTCCACACAGAATGGAATTTTTGGGAACGAATGGACGGATGGACGGATGGATGGATCGATGCGTAGATAGGTGTATGGATGGATGGAATGATCGGGTGGATAGATCTAGAGGCGTTGTTTGTACGACTGTACGATAGTGTTGCGGTTTTCTTTCAGCAGCTCGCTTGTGTGTGTTATAAGCTTGGTTGTTCCTCGTGCTGCATCCTGGGCAGGTACGGTTTGCCCTGGGGGATAATGATTGCCGAGTTTTTTCGTCTCTTGCGCCACCCTAAGCGGCATTCGGTGTTCTTTTCCGTTCCCATGCGAAGGAAAGGTTTGTCTTTATCTCCCTGTTTACCCGGACTTGGCTCTCTTTCTTCCTAGCTTGATCCAGAATTACACAAACTCTGGATCTTTCGATCTCGAAAATGGCCTGAATGGTGTGAATGGTATGGTTTACCTGGTGCAGGGACGCGCGCGCGCGCGCGTGTGTGTGTCACGCCATATGACGTGCTAACAGACACAAGAAATGCGGATGGCTCACTGTGTACGTGTTTAGTGTGTCCCGCGTGTGTATGTGTTTCAGTGGGACAGCGACTAGAACCCCATTATAGCTGATTAGCTGAGGATGGTTGGATAATCAGGTTGGTTGTGATCACCGATATCCCGGTAGTGTGCACGTCTGTATGTAGCTCCTTTCACCAGCTCTACCGTGCATCTCGTAGAACGAACGGAGGGCTCAAGGGATCAATTTACGAGAGTTAGTATCTGTTACCTCCGCCACACATTGCGGCATCTGATGTGGGAGCTGGTAAGGGTGTGGGCGGATGGGAGAATGTAAGTGCTTGCTCGCACTTTCACGAGTTGCGCATGATATGAGCCCCCACCAGCCGTCGTTCATCCCGCATGGGGCGGATGCTCACTCACATGTCTTCACGGTGTCGTACACCCTATGTCCCTATCATGGACGATCCGGTTGGGGCCGCAATCGAGGGGGAAAATATATATGTGTGTATATGTATGTATCTATGTGTACGGGGAGAGCAGTAAGGTCCGGGGAGGTGCAGTCCTGCTCTTCATCTACGAGGGGGGTTAAGGTAGGTGGGGTGGTAGATAGGTAGGTTGGCTGCCTTCTGGGGAGGGAGCCAGCCGGCCTGCGAAGTCGGTATTCTCGGCAGGCAGGGGGAACACTGAAATGCGTCAGCCTGGGGCCAGATGACTGCAGGTGATAAAAACAACAGAGGTTGTTGGTGCTCGTTTTTTTGTTAAATGTGCTGCCCGAGGCGGCCGTGGATTGTGATTCCAATAATAATCGTGCCTGAAGCGGGAGCGGCTCGTAAATTCACCATGCATCTGCTTGCTCTTCGGGTTGTAATGATGAGGCCCTTCATGAAGAATAAACAGCGGGCTGGGGCTGGGGTTCGATTGGGAATCACTGGGAGACATGGCTGCGTCGGTACGCTTGCAAAAAAAGGGTTTCTTTCCTGTGCGCGCAGCAGTACAGAATCGCAGGTATCGCTAGTCAGGTGAAGTGCTTTAGACGTGTCTCCCATTCCCTTCTTCGGCCGGAAAACAGTTGGGAAAACTGTACAAAACAGTACGAAGCAGTTGAGGTACAACCATTCGAGAACTGTTTTACGTTTTTGCTCTGTAAGGACATCATATGTCTATGGCGGCTCTTCTCGCTCATCTCACCACAGTTGCTGTATCGGTCGCCTGAACACGGGCGTGGCAATATGATATGGAACACGTTCCTAGCGTAAAAGAAGTATAAGGAGGAGGAGAATTTCTGCCTTGAAGTCTATCGCGTGAATTCTCCACTTTGGCGCAGCACCATAAAATGGAGGTGACCGAGAGCGATTTTCGAGAAATAAGTGGGCGACGGCTGCTCCTCAGCCTTAGCCAGTTTGTAAGCACATGCTATTGCTGCTTCCTCACGATTATCTAGGCGTTTTACACCCAGGACTTGCTCCTGTAGGGGGAGGCCATTGTGAACGAGTTAGGACTGAGAGATGACTATTATGAAAGGGATGAGGATGACGATCATGAAACAGACTTTCACGATGAAGTGGAAGCTATGGAGGAGGACCGGGAAGAGGGCTCTGCGGATGTGGTTTCCAGCCCAGCGTCGTGCAGCTTCCTATTTCCCGGCAGGTCCTTCACTGGACAGCAGCGATTATCTAGCCCGCATCGACAGCAGGAGGACTGGGCCGTCACCGCGACAATCTACAGCTGCGACCTCTCCCGCGGGCGTGTTACAGGAAGCATGGTAGCGCAGAACAGCCCGCTTGCAAAGCGGCCGATTGTCACATATTTTGAGGTAAGGACAGTGCGCAGTCGACGCCAAGAGGTCTCGAGCCAAACGAGTCATCGCGTCGGTGTTGCACAACGGGGGAAGGTAGACCTTAACAATTCCCTGTTTGAGGGACAATGTCTGGGTCATGTAAGCAAGACATGGCCGCTTGAGTCTCCGTGTCTTAAATCCCTTGCGTGGGGCCTCTTACGGGTGTGACCGGTGCATTGCTAATGCCATCGCTTAAGTTACAGAACGGTAATAACGCGTAGCATTTCGACAAGGGAAATATACCCTACAGGCCAAGTATAACTGTCTTCCATGTGAAGTCGCCGAGGGAGAAGACGGACAGTATCGGCCCTGCGCACAGTATGTCTCCATCCTAACTTTGTAAGGGAATCGATGCCACCACCAAAGCCGCCAGCTACCTGTCGTTGCCAAGATGGGTATTGCAGTGTCGGTATTGAGTGAGCACCGGGAGGACCGGGTTTTCTTGGGTTACTGTCCGCTTGCCCATCTGTCCGTCTGTCTGTCTGACCTTCTGCCGCCATTCTGGGTATCACGAGGGGCTGGAGATGGCAAAAGGGCGTTCCACACCTCTGCCCTCATCAGCGTTAGAGCCTGTTTCCTCTGCTGGTGGTGATGGTGGTGGTGGTGGTGGTGCGGCTGCTGCTGCCAAACTCATATGGTTGGCCAATACGGTTTTACCGCATAGCATGTCGAAGAGAGGGCTCTAAGCTACAACTACGATGTGCGAAAGGGGGGTGTTAAGAGAGAGAGAGAGAGAGAGAGAGAGCATCGATGACAAAGAGAACGACGAATAACGAAGGGTTACTCGGAGGATGATGATCCCACCCGTAAATGGGATCGTGAGCAGCGGTTAAAGACGAACGGGTGGGTGGGTGGGGTGCACGAGGCTCAGGGCTTTTTTTCCACCGAAGGAGACTAAATCCTCCTCTCTCTCTCTCTCTCTCTCTCTCACACACACACACACACACATCATTCTGGCGTATCAGTTTATCCTTGGCATTAGCTTCGCTCGTTCGTGGTTCGTCGTGCCCCCCCTCACACCACTTCCACCACCATCATCGCCATCACCACCATCATCGCCACCATCAGCACAGCTGGTGCTTTGGACTCCTCAGCGACAGTGGTCACTAGGGTGATCTTTGCATGTTGCATTTACGGTTCCCCCTTCCCTTCCCTTCCTTCCCCTCTTACATTCTTGCTCTGGCAGCAGCTTCACTCGCTCACGTGGTTCGTCTTCCCTTCCGCCTCCTCCCCATCCCCGTTCCCATCACTTCCCACCACCATCATCGCCCTGCTGCTGCTACACCACCGCAGGGGGAGATCATCGACAACATCAACCACATCTTCTGGACGGGCAACAAGTGGGGCGCCTGCCCCAGCCGGGAGACCGACTTGCGCTACTGGTCTCGCTGCCCGGGGTTCACCAGCGCGCTGCGGGCGGCGGTGCAGCAGCACCACGGCAGGGCGCCGCAGCTGGGCACCTGCCCCCACGTGTTCATGCGGTGGAAGGAGTGCTTCTTCGTGGACGTGCCCCAGGTGGGGTGGGGGGGACCGGCCGGCCGGCCGGCCGGGTACGTGTCTGTGTGTGTGTGGGGGGGGGGTAAGAGGGCGGGAGGCCGCAGGTCCTTGAGGAGTTGGGGTTCAGGGGTGTGGCCGAGTGGCGGGGAACTGCAGTAGACCCGTTACGGGAGGTGCATTGGTGGTGTATCTGTCAGCTGCGGCGGGGGAGGCGGGAGGTGAAATGGGTTTTACACGTACGGTAGTGTACGGCATCCTGGAAGGGGAGGGAGATTTTTGATGAAAATGGTCAACAGTCCTAGCTCAGACGGTTGTAACCTGGGTGGGTGCGTCTGGGTGGGCTGTTTGGAAGTGGGCGGGTGGGAGGGGGGTTTTGAGGTGGGCCATTGCCTTGGTGCGGTGGTGGATGTATGTGTGTGTGGGGGGGGGCTGTGTATGTGTGTCGGTGTGTGTGGCTGTGTGCAGTGCGATGATGTCAACCCCCACTTGTTCGTGGTTTGTCTTTCCCCCGTGTCGCCGTCGTCCCCCTCAGGACTGCCCCCTCACCATCACGGGCTACTACTATCTGTCCTTGGACCGCCAGTCGGGATCCATCGGGGGCTACTACCACGACGCGAGATCAGCGCCCTTGCAGGTGGGGGGGGGCGGAAGGTGTATGTGTGCATGTGTGCATGTGTGCATGTATTTATGCATGTATTTATGCATGTACGTATGTGTGTAAATGTATGTATGTATGTATGTAACTTTTCCTTTGCGCGCGTGGTCTTCCTTCCTTCAGGTGTTGCAGCTACAGCCCCTGGAGCTCAGCGGGGGGTCGGGCGGGAGCTGCGGCAGTAGCAGCACCAGCAGCGACAGCGGAGCCGCACGGCCTGGACCGACTAATGCTGCTGCGGCTGCTTCT